TATATATATATACCGGTATATAAAATGAAAAAAATATATATATATGTATATATAAATAAAAGTGAATAAAAATATATATATTAATAAATATAATGAAAAAAGAATATATATATATATATATATATCATAAAAATCAATCAATAAATAAAATGAAACAAATATAAAACATATATATAAATAAATAAATGAATAAATCCCTGGAATTCTACAAATCGGACAATAACTTCGCATTTTTTTCTAAAGGTGTATAAATCTTAAAATTAATCTAGCTTTTTTTTTTATTTTGCTGTCCTTTGTCGAGTGACTATACTAAGATTTTTAACAGTCACTTAATGGCCGGAAATGACATCACAGTGTGCTAAAAAAAAAAAAAAGCTGTTGTTATTGTTAGCTTGTTAGCTAGCAGACGAACGGCTGAAATGGAGATATGACTGAGTAATAACTGCTTATTACATATGCACCGTTAAGTTATAACAAAACCAAAAGTGGTATGTACCAGATTCTGTGGTAGACTTTTAAAGCATGACGATTTTATTATTGCTTTAATGACGGAATTAAAGTACAGCAAGTAAAGCATAAAAAAGGAGATTGTGATTATATATTCGGGTCACATGTTTCTTTTGGAATGAAGCTAGCGTCACAAAAAGCTAACGTTGTGATGAGCTAATTTCTTTCTTCGAGCCGATTCAGGTTTACACTTTACAAACATCTCATCTGTATTTGATCATATTTGCATAACCAAATTTAATTCGATCTAGTTCGATAGGTTCCCTCTGCACAAAAGAACGCAACATCTGAAAGCATCTTCTTCGTCACCGTTTTGGAAATACTTCTGCAGTTATTAACATATAAATCAGAAAACCAACTTATGTGCATCATATGTATTTATGACTTGTTGACATCATTTTAGTTAAATGTAACGTTTGTCTGTGGCAGATGGAGGACGGTAACAGGAATAACACAGCAGCTTCCACATCCAAGAGCCATGCATCTCTACACCTGCAGAGTAAGGTCTCACTTAATGCAATGTAGCAGTTCATTTTGTTAGTCATTACCTAAGTGAGTATATAATATGAAGAAGCAGAAAAAACACCCCAACTTTTATGTAGCTATGAATGTTCTAATTGTTGGCATCCCCCGTAATCTACAGAATTTGTTGCTGGAGTCTAATTCTCATTGTAAACTATATGCACCATAATAAATCCAGTTCAGGACAAAAGCGAAACTTTGAAAATCTGAAATTGAGATCAAATTCCCAGATATGATGGATAAGATGTGACTTACCCTTAAACCCAACTTTTAGTCACAACAGGGTCAATTTAGTCTTTCTATTTCTATTGAAAAATTTAAAGGAAAGAAACAGTTACGATGCCTGCAACATGACCCGGTACTTTATTCATATCTTTTTAAGCTGGTTCCGAAAGTCCTATTTGATACTTTTACATCTTAGCATTTCAGAAATAGTAATTATTTTAGACTTGCATACTGTACCTTTGGATTAATGCAAACAGTAGAATTGTTTGGTTTTTACTAAAAGGAAAAAATATCGTATTGATATAACATTAAAATAACTCTTCCTGAAATTGTACATTTTCGCCGTTTTAAGAGGAAAACCACAATCTGGTATTAAAAACTCAAAAATAGCACATGAACACATTTTTTAAATATATTTGTCACCTTTGTATTTTTCTTCACTGTATTTAGGAGCTTTTTAAGCATCAATTTGAGACTTAAGCTTTCTTCTGCCTCCTTTATTTCTGCCACATAGCTGGATTTTCCTAAATTGATCATGAATGTATTATACAAAGAACTCATGCAAAGAAATTAGTAAATATGTTTCACTTTTAATTATTTTTCATAATGATAATTAGAAGCAATGAAAATGCCATCCTGCAATTCTTCCCTTATCAATACTTTTATGCAGGAAAAGGTTTACATATGGAAAGACATTATGCATCAATAAGCAATGATGAAAACTAAAAAAATTTTTTTTTTTTGAACAGTAAATGGTGACAAGCTGCTAAATCTTTATTCTCCTCCTGTTCCTTCTTGGTCTTCTTCTCTGTTTAATGATTGATGAAGATTAAATAAGAGTAAAATCTGAATTCTGTATCTTCCAACATACATCAGATACATTAGTTAAAAATTAGGGAATGGGGGCATCAATAGGCTTTAGACTGCAGTATTATAATGTTTTTCAATTACAAGTTATATTATTTTGTCATTTCTCAGCTCCAAAAAATGAGGACACCTATGAAATTGCCATTCCATTTGAAGAGAACAACTTTGAGCAGCAGGGATTTTTCAACCAGAGTGATCAGAATTTTGATGGTAAAAGTCTTAAAATATATAAAACAGTTGCTGTCATCTGTCACAGTTGAGTCGCTTTTCTCTAGTGCAACACTTTTGAACTTTGGAGCTGCTCTTGTCATCCTCAGAACCACCCTCCACCTCCGGGCCATCTACGGTCAGCAATTCATATATGGTGATTACCAACCTGCGGACCCAGCTCCAGATCTCTCTGGAGAAAAACTCCTGGCTTCAGAAAAGAATCGAGGACCTGGAAGAGGAGAGGGACTTCCTTCGGTGCCAGTTGGACCGCTTTATCTTTTCCACAAAAAGCCAGGGAACAGAACAGGGTCAGAGTCACTACAATAACGGTGAGGACAGTCATAGTTACACCCTAAGAAGTCGTTTACTGAGAAACTTTGCTGAAGTGGTAAAAGACATGAAAATCTAAATTTCCCTCCTGGTGTTTTTCTCCCATCAGGGTATGAATCTAGACGATTCAACTGGAGGGCAAGAAGAGAGGAAGACCGTCCCGCTGGTAAATATTCACCCATGCATTTTAATTTCACCATATGGCAATGATGAATTATTGTATTTTTACAATCACTAAAATGTGTGTCATTTTGTATTTTGGGTTTTCATCCCTCTTAATAGAACAACAGAAGACGGACCCGCAGCATTTCCCTCAGCGTCAGTTTATCCAGCGAAGGCCTGGTCCTCCCACTATGGTCCCTTCCAAAAACCCTGTCTCTAATCAGATACCCACTCAGCTCTCCAATATGAATGCCTTGTTCAACACAACACAATCCCAGGCTCTTTTACAAAGCCATAGTCATGCCTCTCCAAGTACAACAGCCAGTGGCAGCAACAGCAAAAACAACAATTCTGCAAGATCCTCTTTGAATGACCTGAGTAGACACAGTGGCCCAGGTAATACAAATTAGATAAAGGTTCAAAGTTTGAAATTTGAAGGCCAAAATTGTGAATTTGACATCAAGATATCATTTCATAATGGAAAAAAGATAACTTGCAAACCATAAATCCCCATAATTCAACCTTATACCTCATTGAGTATGTTTGGCAGCAACTATTGTATTGTATTACCTTGATAATAATGTCATGGTGTCATACATGTGTCTTTTGCCTCTTGGGTTTTGTAAAGCGGATTACTTTTCGGCCTTTACAGATTCCCTCTCACTGTTGGGAGAATCTGATGAGTTCTTGGAGCAGGAAGGCTTCATCGAGGAGGAGGAAATGATCTCAGGGGAAGATGTCATGTCAGAGGCAATTAACACCAACAGGCACCAGTTAAAGAGGAGGCGACTCTTCCGAGCTCCACGAGAGCGACAGAGAGGTGAGGAAGAGAAGAAAAAAAAAAGGAAGAAAGATCCAGAAAGAACACTAATGGCAGTCATTTAAGAATTTACTGCTGCTAAAGACATTTTTTCTTTCTTTTTTATTTGCAGTCAAAGATGCTGCAGGGGTGCTTTTCCGCTATAAGAAGATTCTCCTTACATACCAGCGGCTCAAAAATATGTCTAAAGCCTTCCAAATCCACGGGGTCGACCGCAACACAGTCGCCTCCACCACGCCCATCGCTGAGCTGCTTCTCGTGGCACCAGAGAAGGTGGCCGAGGTGGGAGAGTTTGATCCTTCCAAAGAGAAGCTGCTGGACTACGCCCGGCGCTGCTACATCGCCCTTGATGACGAGACGCTTAGCAGAGTGCAGGCGTTAAAGAAAAATAACCTTTTGCTGCCCATCTCGTATAGGTTTAGGCACTGAGGAGAGAAAGGGAAATAATTGGATTTCTCCTTGAAACAGAAGGCAGAAGTGAAAGGAAATAAAAAGCTAACTCCTTCCTAATGCACATGGAAGCTGCAACTGACACTTTTCAATGCATAGAAACTCACCACATTCTATCAGTTATAAACACAATTTACACCCATTTACATTTGACAGACCTTAACCAACATCATTAATGAGTTTTTTTTTTTTTTTTTTTTTTTTTATAGGGAATAGAGTCAATGCTACCTGCCAGCACCTGTGTCGTTCTAACTTTAGAACTGATATTTCTACAATCATACGGGACTGTGCTTAAATACATTTGCTTGTGCTGTGGTTTGAAAATACTTTTTTATATCCTAGCAAGTTGGTTTACTTGATGGCAGAAATTCAGACACTACTTTCGATTAATGCGGCTTCTCAAAGCCTAAATATCCAAATATATATCACTTTATTTGTATGCAGCTTTGACACAACCCTAAGTGTACAAACCTCAGATGAGGAGGAATTTTTTATTTATTTATGTTATACTTTATACAGGGCTGCTCAGTGGAATA